AAAATCATAACCATCAACTAGATAATCAATGGCTGTGATTATGTAGTGGTCCCTCCACTATTTTTTTTAGTGGAGAGGATCCGAATCCTTCGAAATTATGGGGGTTTCTTTACGTACAGAAACTTAATTGTAGGTGTTCTTTTTATGGTAATTTCGTTCTCTTACAACTGCGTGCAATTGTGAAAATGCGCTCAATACACCGTTTTTAGAAGTGAAAATAGGTGAAGCTGACCCATTCAAAATATCATTAATACGAACTTGAGTAGCCATTATAAGTAGAATTTCTTAAAGTTTCAAAAGATAAAAAGAGTAGGAAGTGGACCTTGTCGTCACACACAACTTAAATCAGAATAAACTAAATAGAAAAATCTAAGGGTGGCAAATGGGTCGACCCGACCCGACCCGACCCATATAAAATTTGACCCGACCCATATAAGTGTGACCCGACCCGACCCGTTTAATAAATGGGTCAATGTGGTCCGACCCGTTTATTAAACGGGTTACCCGACCCGACCCATATAACCCGAATAACCCGTTTATCAAACTTCTAACAATGGACATATATTGTTCAAATTTTCCAACCACTAGCATCCATACATTACCTAAATATAAAAAACAATTAGAGCTCTCTATATAAAAATTTCAGTAATGCTCAAAACCATACATTACCACTAGCATCCGTACATTAAAAAGCATCACTAGCATCCATACATTACCTAAATAAAAAAAAACAATCATAGCTCTCTATATAATCATCACTAGCATCCATACATTACCTAAATAAAAAAACAATCAAAGCATATATGCCTACAGAAACTTAGCTTACTCTCAATGAAAACAAGTACTCACTCTAAATATCCTCTTACACTTCCCTCAACAAATCTAAAATACCAATCAACATAACAGAATCCCAAGTTATTAAAATAGGCAACAAAATAAACATTTCTCTCTCTATTTGTTCATTTGGCACTGCTCAACTCCTTGCGCAGCTGCTTAGCAGCAACAACCATGTTTATAAGTAATGACATCATCTCTCATGCATTTGAAGGTCACCCCCTAGCTGCTTCTCTGTCAACAAACGAGAAAGGGCTTAATTATATTTAGATTAGAACAATAAAATGATTTGACAAATTTAAAATGATTTGACAAAGGTAGTTTAGTCTTGCATTCATGATACTCAAATTTAAAACCAGTTGAGAAAGTTGAAGTAAGCTTAATGATTACAAACCGAGTACAGGATACAGCAGCAATGTTGAGTGTCAGGTTTTCTTTAACGAAACAATGTGTGCATTGGATGAGGGAAAAAAAAGCTAAACACATTTAGTGAAACAAGTTCTTACCTTCAGCTACCGCATCACAGTATGAGAGGTTCATACTTGTGTTGGCATACATTCTCCAATATCTAATTGCAAACGAGTCGAATTCCTAAATATAAAAAAAAATATGAGAGAATAAATATCATTCACAAATAGAAACATATAGTTTATCTACTTCTACAGAGAATGAAAATAACATTCACAAATATGAGAAAGGGCTTAATTATTATTTGTATGAGATACTTGTAAGTCAAACACTGGTCTATAGAGAACCATGACTTGGAACAACTTGTTTTCACATTTCCATTGATTTCCAACAATTTGAAGTCAAACACTTGCAACAGTAAAAAAAATGAAACATATAGTTTATCTACTTCTACAGAGAATGAAAATAACATTCACAAATAGAAAGATTCCAAAATATATCACATTCTGTTATATAGATTACATTGTATAAGTATCATTTTGGAAATCAATGATTTAATCAATGACAATGACACTAAAAAAAGTAGAGTATGACAAGAAATTATACACATACAAGATATAAATACATGCAAAAACAATAAAAACTAAGAGATAAACTAATTGCATATAAATACATGCAAAAACAATAAAAACTAAGAGATAAACTAATTGCTTGAGAAAGAAATTACCCTCAAGATATCAATGCAATCTTGATCAAATGTGTCATCATACACACGAGAAGTTCCCTCATTGCTTGATTTCTTCAAGTTCCTTCTTCTATCACCATCCGTATTGCTCGAGTACTCATTGAAGAGAGAGAAAAGCTTGTCTTTCACATTCTTAAGCTCCGTAGAATTGTGTCCATATAGCCCATGATAGCAAAACTCTACAAATTATCGCTAATGAAAATGATATATAAACATTTGCAAAGTGATGACTAAAGATATGGAAAACACTTGCAAAGTGCTAGCAATAGATGCTAGCTAATGAAAATGATGACTAAAGATATGGAAAACACTTGCAAAGTGCTAGCAATAGATGCTAGCTAATGAAAATGATGACTAAAGATATGCTGAAGATTCATTCTACCACAATAAACTAGCATTCACTAACAAAAATCAGACAGACTCTTATTTTATAAACTTCTCTAAGTATTTTGCAGCTTTCAGTTAATACTTAATAGGAAATGCCTAAAATTACAAAATCTGAAAATGAAAAAGAACTTTGAACGAGAACTCTATATGCAGATTGGACTGTTTCTGGTTAAGTTATGACTAGGAATTCCATTTTTATATGATTATGACTTGTGACGATAATTTGTTGTATTTAAATATGCATGGTATCATACTCAAAAGCATACAGGTACTTGAAGAATAATCCCAATGCTTCTCCTAACCAGCATTTTGTCATCTCATCTGCACATAGCATATAAAAACCTCTGCAGGCATCCAATTGGATTGATGACAGTAAATCTTGTAAATCATCATGACTCAAATGCCCAATTATTTCACTAAATTTTGTCACAACTTCAAGCAAAATAGAAACATGACTCCTTACGTACCCAATTTGTAATAAAATCCCAAAATTGATAGAAGGCATGATAAAAAAGCACCAGCTAAGAGTATACCTCAAAATCCAGTGACCAAGAGGAACTTTGCTCGATCGGAGAGAGGGAGGAGGGCTTGATCGGAGAGAGGGAGGAGGAACTATGGCTCGATCGGAGAGAGGGAGGAGGACCTTTGCTCAAAATCCAGTATACCTCAAAATCGCCGATCGCCGCTTGCCTCCGATCGCCGCTCGACCTCGCCGCGCTGCCGCCGCTGGCCGCCGCTCACCGCTCGCGCCGCTCACGCTCGAGCTTCGTGATGGGATCTAGGGCCATCGCGATTGAGCTTCGTGATGGGATCTAGGGTTCTCTTCGTGGTTTTCTTTGTGTTGTTATACGGGTCGGGACTTTTGTTATATGGGTCAGTGGCTACAACCCGAATTTACCCATCTTAATAATGGGTAAATTCGGGTTGACCCATTTATGACCCAACCATATAACTCAACCCATACCCATTATAAACGGGTCGGGTCGGGGTCGGGTTGATGGTCGGGTCAAAATTGCCACCCCTAGGTCGGTCGACCGAAAACAGATATGACAGAAAAACAGTTTTTGGAAGCTAATTTTGACACTTTAGAAAATATGTTAAAAGTAACAAATGAAGTCCAAAAATAATAAAACTTTGGGAAAAGTATTTAAACATGAAAACAAACATGTTACAAAAAGAATTTTCCAAATTTCATTTCCCATTTGTGAAAAATCATCATTTTGCAAAATAGTCCAAAACACGAAAATGGAAACATGTGAATTTTGACATTTTGGCTAAACCATGTTTTGAGACTTTGCACAATGATTATATAGGTTTAATAAAGTATGTATATGATTATTGTTAAGTCCAAAAACTAAGAATATAATATTTTTATAAAATTACATATTCTATGCAATGTTTTCGAAAACACAATAGTAAATATGAAATATGTGATTTCATATTTATAAACATGAAAACCCAAAACATATGTATGTATATATATAAAACTATATATATGCATAGAAACCAAAACTTATGTATGTGTATAGATATTGAGCTTAACGTACTTAACACACATAATATAAATCCTAAACTAAATTACCCAAGCTTGATCTTGATCTTCATTGTAGCTCAACTTGGTACACGTTGCGGATGAAGCTAAACTTGAATCTTGAACTTGAATTGTACGATGCTTCACTCCACAATTCCGCCAACCTCCTCTTGATATGATCATGTAGGCTTAATTCCATCCATCCTCCAACTACGTTGTTTGTCTATAATAAATAAGAAAACACAAATACCAGACAAACAACATTAGTTGTAAATTGTTTGTTAAACATCATCAAAACAAGAAGGCCAATAATCTCCCCCTTTTTGATGATGACAAACAATTTACAAAAAGGATATATGCATGAAAGGAAATGAATATATAAATTATAATTCACATGCATATAAACAAGAAAGAATATACTCACAATATTTCTCCCCCTTTGACAACATCAAAAAGGGGACAAACGAATTAAGAGAGCGAAAGCTCCCCCTATCAATAAGCATAGGTGAGTATAAAAACAAACATAGAATAGGGAATAGCACCCCCCCTAAAAATGCCATATAAAATATATGCAATAAAGATCACGGCAAAACATGTGAGCAAGCATACATGAATATGCTAAATATCACTCACATACAAAAAGATAACGAGAACGCATATAAATATCTCAATATGAAAATAGTGTCTCATTAACAAAAACATAAAGATCAAAAATAGATTTATGAAATCAAAAGAAAAGGAAAATGAAAATAATGTAAAAGGTTTTCAAATGAAAACAAATTAACCAATGAAATCATAAATCACAAGTAAATCATATAAGAACATAAAACCAAATCATCATTGATTTAAAAAAAAACACCCAATAACTCCGGAGGGTTATATAAGTACAAACCTCTCATCAAAACAAAACAAATAATCATGAAAACAAAAGATTTTATCAATTATAAATTTATTTTCATAATCAAAATATTTTAAGACATAATTTTAAAACCAAGAAAGGAAAAAGTATGAACACTAAAATTCTTGGTTTAAAATTTAAATTTGTTTTGGTACCCAAGAACTCTTGGTACCAAAAGATTTAGGGACATGACCCCTATCATTTAAGCTCAAAGCCTTAGGGTTATGAACCCTCTTAGGCATATATGGTGCACTAACATGGTCAAAACAATATTCATTCAAATGACCCTTCCGATTGCAATTTGTGCAATGAAAGAGATCCATTTGTTTTTGTGGACCATTAGCTCGTGCACGGGAATCATTTGCAAATAAAGATTTTCTTTTAAAATTATTTTGCAAATGAGAAACATCATTAAACAAATGTGGTCTTTTTGGAGCAAATTGCAAATTTGGAGTATTTTGCAAATCAAAACAAAATTTAGCAAGATGTCCAATCCTACCACAAACATCACATTTAAACTTTTGTGGCTTAATAAAATCATTTGGCAAATGTGAAGTCTTTTTCAAATCATAGCAAAATTTTGCCAAATGGCCAAAACGACCACAAAGATTACATTTAAACACATTAGTATGTTTATGATGTGCATGATAAGCATATGCATGTGTATGTGATGAAGAAGCTACATGAGATGCACAAGGAGCATTAGAATTCTTATGTTTGTGTGCATCATAACAAAACTTAGCTAAATGACCTTGACGGCCGCAAATAGAACACTTATAAGTTTTGCTATACATGTGTGCATAATGAGTGGATGATTTTGACTTAGTCTTGGCACACATGTCCATAAGCCTCTTATGATTATTAATGCATATTTTCAAAGTTGAATCTAAAGATGAAATACTATTTTTCATAAGATTCAAATCTTTATTTTTAGGCACATATGCATTTTTAGAAGTAGAACATAAATAATCATTTATAAATAAATAGTTATTTATAAAAGAAGCTGTATCATTCTTTATGTTCTCTACTTCTAACATGGCATCAATCTTAGCATGAGATAGGCTAGCAATAGATGAGATCAAATTTTTATTTTCCAAATTTAATAAGTCATTGCTTTCTATAAGCATAGTATTTTCATTTTCAATGACATCAAATTTGGACACTAGCTTCTCATGATCGGATTTTAAATTATCATGCTTGCATTGTAAATCAACAAAATCTTTATGTAATTTGTTAAAGGCATGCAATAATTTTTCACTAGCACAAGCAAGTTCATCACTAGATAAATCATTATCGGGTTCGAACTCGCAAACCTCACTAGGGCTATCGCCTAGTGGCCGTGTGCATGAAGCTATCCTCCAAAGCTTGTTGGATCGCCTCCAAGTCCCCTTGATGTGCTTCTATAAATTTCCAAAGTTTGTAAGCACTATCAAAATGAACAAACTTGTTAGACATAGATGAATTAAAAGCATTTAGCAAATATTCTAACAAAATATTGTTCATTGTAAGCATACGATGATCATTCTTATTCCACTTGGATTTCTCCGTAGTGGGCACAATATAAGCATCATTTATAATTTCCCATAAATCAAAGTGTTTAGATTGAACAAAAAGTTTAAATCTAACACACCATTGGGTATAGGGGAAATTATCTAATCTAGGAGCAATATTATTGGCATAACCTAAACCATGCATATTCATAATATGAAAGGCAAGCAAGATACAAATAAAGCTCAAAATTTGATTAGCACAATAAGCTAACTTGGATCTTTAACTCAAGGCGATTAGACCTTAAATCAAATAGCACCAAGCTCTGATACCAATTGTTAGACCCTAAGGGGGGTGATTAAGGTCTTATGCTAATCTAATCCTATTATATGCCAATTAAAAATAATTAATAAGTTATTCTAGCAAGTATGAAATACAACAAGAATATAAGCTAGGATAAGCAACATGAACAATGAGATATATCCTATATGATAGAAATATATGCAAGGATATATAAACAACACAAGGGTAAAAATCTAAATAAGATAGTGGATGAAATGAATGAGCAATGCACAATTGGCGATATAAGATGAATGCAAAAACAAATACGCCAAAGACAAACTCAAACAAGCAATATGATCACGGAGTTCGGACCTTCCGTCTGTTGGCCTTCTTGTTTTGATGATGTTTAACAAATAATTTATCACTAATGTTGTTTGTTTAGTATTTATGTTTTCTTATTTATTATAGACAAACAACGTACTTGGAGGTTGGATGGATTGCGCCATAACGATCATATCAAATGGAGGTTGGCGGAATGTCGGGTTGAAGCCTTGCAATTCAAAGTTAAAGATCAAGTTCAAGCTTCATCCGCATGTATACCAAGTTGAGCTACAATGAAGATCAAGATAAAACTTGGGTAAATTTAGTATAGGTTTATATTATGTGTGTTTAATACTCTAAGCTCAATATCATATACACACACAATATTGGATTTTCTCACAAAATGAGCTATTTTGAGAAAACTTTATGATATTGTTTTATTGACCATGTTTACTTTATATTCATGTGTTATAATGTTTATGAAGACATTTCATAAAGTTTCAATATGCGTTTAAACTCTTTTTGTCAAAAACACGCTCTTAACAAATTCATATTCATGCATGTTTTTACAAAATAATGAGTTTTCACAATTGAGAAATGAAAATTGAAAATTTATTTTTGTAACATGTTTATTTTCATGTTTATAAACATTTTGTAAAGTTTTATCAAGTTTGGAATTGATTTGTTATGTTTAATGGAATTTACAAAATCATATTTTTCATTCGTGCGTGTTCGTGCATGTTTTACAAAACAGATGAGTTTTCATATTTTTCATTCGTGCGTGTTCGTGTTATGTTTAATGGAATTTACAAAATCATATTTTTCATTCGTGCGTGTTCGTGCATATTCAAGAAATTATTTCTTTGACATGTTTATCTATATGTTTAGAAACCTTTCTCAAAATTTTACTATTTTTGGAGGTCATTTACTATGCCCAATTGATTTTACAAAATCGTGTATGTCTGCAGTTTTTCAGAAACTGTAAATCTGTGTTCAAACATTTATTTCTCTCAACTGGGAAATGCTTTTTCATAAATTCTTTCTCTAACATGTCATTCTACATGTCTAGAACCTTTCTACAAAGTTTCATATTTTTTGGAGCTGTTTTACTATTTTTAATTGATTTTACAAAACTAAAACGCAGTACTATAATACCCGCGGTCGACCGGTACGGTCGACCGCCCAACTC